AGTCCTGTATGTTGACAGAGCAGTTCTCCATGGTGGCTGTAATTTGAAACACATCCCAGTCTGTTTGGGCAAAGCAGTCCTGTAGGATGCTCTCAGTCTCTGGGGTCCACAGTTTAACAGGTTTGATGACAGGGTTCGATTTTTTCAGTTTCTGCCTGTAAGCCGGGTACATGAACATAATAAGAGCTCCAGGGTCTCCGTGGTTGGTTCTTCCCAGCGGCAAGACAAAGAGGAAACGTAAACAAAGGAGGCAAAAGCGTGGCTGCAGGGCGGGTCCACTAGCTCGGCTAAAGAAACAGCCATTTAAGCCACCGCTTCCGAGTATTTTCCTCTCCAACGTCAGGTCCATAACCAACAAAATCGACGAACTGAGATTACAAATTGCAGTCAATAAGTGTGTACGGGACAGCAGCATAATATTACTCACAGAGACTTGGCTGCAGCCATCAATTCCGGACTCGGCTATTGAGCTAGCAGGCCGCACGGTTCACCGTCACGACAGGAACGGCCACTCCGGTAAGATCAAAGGAGGGGGTTTATGCATCTACACCAATGACAGCTGGTGCAAAAACACAAAGACTGTAGACAGCCACTGTTCCCCGGATTTGGAATACTTGACTGTGAAGTGCAGACCCGTCTACATACCTCGCGAGTTTACTGTTGTCATGGTAACGGCCGTGTATGTACCACCCGATGCTAATGCTAACTCTGCCATGGAGGAGCTGCACAAGACAATAAGCAACCAGCAGAACTCCCATCCAAACGCAGTGCACATTATAGCTGGGGACTTCAACCATGCTGATTTAAGGTCAGTATTCCCCAGATTTGAACAGCATATTAAATGTGCAACGAGGGGGAAAAACACATTGGATAAAGCCTACAGCAACATCCAAAAAGGCTACAGAGCAACCCCTCTACCACATCTAGGTTTGTCAGACCACATGTCCATGCTGTTGATCCCTGCATACACTCCCATTAGGAGAAGAGCCCCCCCAGTCACAAAAACTGTGAAAACCTGGCCAGAAGGTGCATCACATCAGCTGCAGGACTGTTTTGAAAACACGGACTGGAGCGTGTTCGAACATCAGGACCTTGAAGAGCACACAACATCAGTGCTCTCATATATTAACTTCTGTGTCAACAGTGTCACTGTGGACAAACGTCTCCGGGTGTATTCCAACCAGAAACCCTGGATGACTAAAGAGGTCCAGGTCCTGCTGAAGCAACGTGACGCCGCTTTTAGATCCGGTGATGGTATGCAGTACAGTGCAGCCAGATCTCAGTTGAAATTGATTTCTTAGACACTACTGTGTACAAGGGACAGCCTTTTCACAACCAACAAACACTGGACATTAAGGTATATTTCAAAACAACAGACACACACTCATTGCTGTTTAAATCCAGCTATCACCCCCGGCACACCTACAAAGGTCTCGTCAAATCACAACTCATTAGGTTTCATCGGATCTGCACTCAAAGGGCAGACTTTTTCGAAGCAGTCAGAACCCTTTTCCGGGCTCTTAGGAAGAGGGGATACTCAAGGTCGTTCCTAAGACATTGTCTGAAGACCTTCCACATACAAAGACCAAGTATCAATAAAGAATGGATTCCGCTGATCACCACCTTTTCACCTAGGAGCAGGTTACTGAATTGCAAATTCAAAAATAACTACAGGATGATCATGGAAAACCAGGGTCTCCTGAGCAGATATCAAGTCATCTCGGCATACAGGAGAAATAGCAACCTGAAGGACCACCTGGTGAGGGCAAGTCTTGCTCCCTTACAGCCATTGCAGAAAACCACAGTCTTGGCCGGTACATTCATTAAATTGGACTTTGTGCAAAATAGGCTCAATAAAACTGTATTTAAGATCACACAGACTTTTACACCACGGACTGTGAATTGTGTGTACATGATTTTCTGCTCCAGATGTGACACACAATACATTGGAGAAACCGGAAACTCAATATCCACCAGGATGATGCAACACAGGTATAACATCAAAAACAAAAAGGAAACACACACACTTTTGGTAAAACATTTCATTTCACATGGGTATCATTCGCTAAGGGTAGCAGGACTGCAAAGTAATTCAAGTTGGACGGAAGGAGAAAGGAGGAAAATGGAGAGGAAATGGATACGATTATTGGACACAAGAGAACCGGGGGGACTGAATATGAAATGTAATTAGGCACTTCTTTCTAAAACCAATGGTTAACCCAAATTTTGAGCCCAATTAGAATTTGGGCTCAAAAGTTTGGTTGGAGTCCCTGTCCCAGCCCGTACCCTAACTCCAACCTATTCGGGTTGGTTTGATTTAACCCCATCCCAATACCCTACCCTAACCTTAACCATTACGATTTAATTTTAACCCAACCCCCATATTTTGCCCTAACCCTAACCACTATGATTGTGGCCCCAACCCAATTATTTACCCTAACCCTAACCCATGTTATTAAATCAACATAACATAAATCAACATAACATAACATAGCATCTTACACCCTGCTGTTATGTGCTGGATTGTCTCAGGGGCATCTTTACACAACCTGCACCTGGGGTCTTGCCTGGTGTGATAGACCCCAGCCTCTATGGATCTTGTGCTCAGAGCTTGTTCCAGTGCTGCCATGATTAGTGCCTATGTGCTGCCTTTCAGTCCAGCTTTGTCCAGCCACTGATAGGATTTCTGGATGTCAGCCACTTCCTCTATCTGCCAATGGTACATACCATGCAGGGGCTTGTCCTTCCATGATGGTTCCTCCTCTTCCTTGGGTTTCTGCTGCCTGAGGCATTCACTAAGCACGTGGTTGGTTGTGGCTGTCTTCCTGATGTACTCATGGATGGTTTGTTGTCTCATCCTGGACTGTGGTACTGACACTCACTAGTCCTCGGCCGAAGTGCCCTGGTCAGTCAGGATATTTTGTGGGATGCTAACTGGAGAGATGGCCTGAAACAATGTCTGTGCCACACCCAAATGGTGCACAGTAGTACTGCTTTAGGATATTGTGTTGCATAATCTACCAGAACTAATACAAAGTGATATCTGCATGCACTCTGGTGAAATGGCAATTATTTTGCTCCAGAGTTTTATCACATACCATATGACCAGCCATTGGGTTGTAATGAGCCACCAAGAAAATTACCTTCCCAGCGGCTTTGCAGCACCAACAACTGGCAGTGTTCTTCCTGTATGCAAGTATAATGACTTATATAATCTTTCCCTAAACATTATAAAATATGAAAATGTCAGCCCTGCTTCAGGGCACACTATTTGATGATCAGTGTTCATCACTTGCATCTTCCATGGAAAATCTTCCATGGAGCTAATTACTGGAACCGTCGACGTCTCCCATGAAGGCCCTACCATTTCCTCCTCTCTAGAGTCAGCGACGGACCCATCACTGCTGAGCGCAGCACAGACCCCACATGTTCCTATGGCCACGCTGTAAATTCCTCCTGGGAGCTCCTCCAAAACTGCTCTGCTCCAGTGTCACTGCCTCCATCACCATGTCCACCAACATTTTCGCCTGTGTGTGCACCAGCTACATTGGCTGCGGGTCCGACATGTTGAGCTGGGATTTGGCACCACTGTAATAGTCCCAGCTCACAGACCTGGCACAACAAACATGCAGTTCTCAGTGTTTGCTCTGTGTGTTTTATTTACAGTGATGTTTTTATGTGCAGGGCAGGTTTCCATCAATCCTTTGGTCTGTGTTTGCCCACACACATCAGTTCAGCACATCACTGCTCAGGTCTAGCCTTCATTTCTCCCTCCTTCAGGTCCTGATATAGTAGAAATGTTATTAGATAATTACTGCCAGTTGTGCCAACCAATCTCCCCCAGATGTCACACCCTGAACTTCCCACTTCCACTTCCCCTGCTGCTGAGCCAAAAACCACACCCAGCCACAATATCTTTTTCTTAAGTCAAGTCAGGTTGTACTACAAGTCCAAATTCTTCCAACCACTTTTGAACAACTGCTATAATTTTGTGTTTTTCATCTCACCATTTGATTGGTATGGAAAATATAGTTTCAGGAGTTCTTTTTTTAATTTTTAGAAAATAATAACAGGTTTACCCCAAAATCCAATTTTCTTACAGTCTGTGTCTGTCAGCGTTCCTGGGACATTGACCCAGTATTTTCAGTTTGTTCATGTTCAGTTTATTTCTCACTGTGCCAGTTACTTTCCTGTGTGTCATTAGTTTGATTAAGTTCAGCTGTGTACTCACCGGTCTCTCATTATCATCCTCATCAGTCTGTGTATTTAAGTTCCTCGGTTTCCTCAGTCCAGCGTTTTGTCATTAATAGAAAGTCATTGCGTGTGTTCAGTTCCGTCAGCCAGCTATTCATTCAGTCAGCCATCTCCTGTTCTCTTCATTTGTCCCTCACAATAAACACCCTGAATCTTCACCGTGAGTCCTGCATTTGAGTCCTCTTCTCCACATCTACACAGCAACCCCTGACAGTGTCTGCTCCCAAACCAACAAAAAACAAACCAAAAAGCAGAAAAAAACCATTTAAACATAAAAAAGCTTATTAATCAGCGATAGGCATAGTTTAAATTCATTTGAAAGCCTAATTCTTAGCCTTGTACACCCTAATTGATGAATTAAAAAATGTGTTTCATTTGTCGTTATCTATTGTCCACCTGGGCCTTTCTCAGAGTTTCTATTTTCTCAGACTTTTTATCTGATTTAGTGCACAGCTCAAATAAAACAGTTATTGTGGGCAATTTTAACACTCTACATGGATGCTGAAAATGACAGCCTTAATACAACTTTTAATCTATTAGCCTCAACTGGCTACTCTAAAAATGTAAAGGAACTCACCCACCACTTTATTCACACTCTAGATCTTGTTCTTGTCATTGTCCTGGTTCTGGTGACCCAGTGTTTATGTTTTAGTTGTGTACTTCTGCCACCAAAAGGACAACAATATGAGTTTTATGAAACTTTGTTTTTTTCTACTTAAAAATTGCTGTTGTTATGTTTTTTGCAGATTTCACACTGTGGGACACGGAAACGATTAAAAAGTACAGCGCTAGGCAGAATCAGACCAGTAGCAACTATGAAATTACTGCAACAGACTCAATTGAGTCCAAGTCTGCTCTGCTGGATGTCAGCGCTTCTGTCAAAGCCAGTTTCCTGGGGGGACTGATTGAGGTTGGAGGATCTGCCAGGTATCTGAATGACAACAAGAAATCCAAGAACCAGAGCAGAGTGACGCTTCAGTTCAGTGCTACGACTGCATATGAACGACTGACAATGACCCATCTTGAAGCAAAGACCACACAAATACAAGATGTCATTAAGAAGAGCCATGCAACACACGTAGTCACAGGCATCCTTTATGGAGCAAATGCTTTCTTTGTGTTTGACAGCGAGAAACTGGAGAGCAGGAGTGTTAAGAACATCGAGACCAGCATGCAGGCTGCGATTAAGAAGATTCCAACGTTTAACTTTGAGGCAAAAGTTGACATCAAGCTGAGTGATGAAGAAAAAGCTGCAACTAAAAAATTCTCCTGCAAATTCTACGGAGACTTCATTCTTGACAGCAACCCTTCGACATTTGAAGATGCAGTGAAGACATACTCACAGCTTCCAAAGCTCCTTGGTGGCAATGGAGAGAAGACAGTTCCTGTCAAAGTGTGGCTGACAGCGCTGAAGAAACTGGACCCAACAGCTGAAGAGATGAAGAGTGAGATTAGTGTTGGGTTGCTGAGGAAAGCTGTGAATGCTCTAGAAAACATCAAAGAAATGGAAATGAGATGCAATGA